GCCCGGCGCTCAATCTCTTCCTGGGTACTGCCCACAGCCGAGCGAGCTTTCCGCCGTGACAGCGAGTCCTGAGACAGGTGGCGTCGTATGTGAGTTCGGACGAGCTGCAGAGTGCTGGTGCTCTTGCTGTGTACCCCCGACTCGAGCTCCTCTTCACTGTCCGAGTCCTCGATGACCAACTCGCCCAGCTCTACAGGCTCAAGCGGAACGATAGCAGTGGGGACCGACGTCCGTGGAGACGAGCATGACTTGGGAGATGTGCCGGCAGACACGGGAATCACCGGGTTCAGGTTGAGCGGTCCTGGCAAGCGAGCGGGGGGCGGCGGCATGGGGAAGACAGCATGGCTGCTGGCGGTAGAGGATCGGTTCTTGGCCGAGCGAGGGGCGGTGCAACAACAGAAAACAGCCATGGTGTGAGCTCTCCAGAGGGCATCCCATTTGGCCAGGGTAATACTAGTCGGAGCAAACTAGTTCTTTTCCAAGAAATAGGCGTCAACGTCCCTGGCCTGGACGGTGTCATGAAATGCCAATGCCAATGCCAGTGAAAATGTCGAGGATTCGGGGGGTAGTTGCCGAGGAGCACAGGGTATAAGACAGGGAGTTTTCAGCACCACGCTCGACCTCCAGGCCAGAGCCCCAGGGTGAAGAGAGGAAGGAGCGTGTTGTGCGCTTACATGCATGATCCGCAACTTCCCGCCTGCCATTGCCCGCTGTCATAGAAGGCACCTACCTTACCTGGATTGCAAAAGCAGATACCCGGGTGCTACGGCAGGAGCATCAAGCGCACCAAGCGCAAGCAAGTAGGCAGTGCTAGCATCACCCGGCGGTGCGAGTATGGGAAATAGGCTTAACAGAACAGGTTGGATTCCGAGCCAATGTAAATAGCTGAAGCTCATTTTAATTCTCTCAACTAGAATCAGGGCGAATTGGCCTTTGGTGGGTTATAGACGGGCGGGTCTCTCCCCCCGTCATACACCCTCCCGCTACCGTCGTACGGTGTCTTCTCATCCCGCGCAGGTGGCCAGGCCACTCTGATGGCATCCAAGATTCCGAGCCCACTCGCACCCACGAGCTTCGAGTTTGGCCGTGGGATCGGCAGCGACGTTTCGTTGTGCAGAAAGCCCGGATATGATACCGAGTTGTTCACCACTGCTATGTTCTCCGGGTCCTTATTCTTCTTGTAGCCCCCAATGTCTGCCAGAAACTGAAAAACATTCGCCCCGACGTCATACCTACCCAGATGGGGCAGGTCCCAGTTATACTCGATCGATGAAAGCATGCTATAGTGCGTGTAAAAGGAGCTGTCCTGCGTGCCCTTGAGCGCGGGGGGGACGGCACTCCCCAGCAGTAATGTCACAATATGGTTGGGCTCACTGTAGGTCTCCGACTCGTCAAAGGTGAGCATGATTAGGGTCCGCTCGTCAAAGGCATTGTCTGCCAGTAGAGGCAGGAGGAACTGGTGCGACCAGTCCGTCGCGGCCTGTAGCGTCGTGTTGTGGCCGTCATTCATCATGTTCGGCGACATGAAGATGAACTGGGGCACCTGCCTTGCCTTGAAGGCCAGTTGAAAGTCGTCAAACGACAGCACACCCAGAAGTCGCATCCCATCGTTTGTTATGCTGTCGTAGGTAACGAATGGGTTGTGTTTTCGAACGTAATCCCATGTGTCCTTCCCCGAGGGCCCATCACTATAATTTCCCATAAAGCCAGGACCGGGGAGGTCCTCAAAGTACCCGGCCCATGATATGTCCTTGGACTCCAACAAATCGGCCACTGTGTAGACATTCTCGGGCAAGCGCACAAACTCGTCGTGGTTAAGGCCGAAGTAGTCGCCCGCGATGGCGGCCAGATAATTGGGCTGACTCGGGTGCGTGTGGGCGTAGTACTTGTCGAGCAGAATGCCTCGCCTCTTCAGGTCGGCGATGTTGTTGTCAATCGCAGCCTTGGCATAGTCCTGGAGGAGGGTCTCGATGGTTAGAACGGCATGTCTTGGTGGGGGTGAAGGCAGCGGGGATGCACCTGGTTCTCCAACCATATCGTGATCAATCTGTCGAATCCGCGCCCTGGCACGATTTTGGCGGCGCTCGCAAGCTCGAGGCACGTCGCGAGCCCCAAGACGATCAAAGACAGTCGCTTCATTATGTTATGGCATCTTGCGCCGGCATTGAGCACGCGAGCTTTGGGAGAGCAAAACACGTTGCAGTTCCAGTTGCGGCCCCATCAACACCAGTGCCAAGCCTAGATCCCTGCCATGCCACCACCTGCACACCTTCGCCAATCAGCAAATGATCGACAGGTATTTCCGGTGTTAGGGTTAGGGTTAGGATTGCACATCAAAAAGGAGACAACCACAACTATCCAACTTGCCATGCTGCCCCTATTTAGATTTCCATCAATGGCCAAGCTGATACATACGACCATAGGTACTGGAAAGCTCGGGATCCCGTCCGCTCTCCCATAGATAAGCCAGTGACCGCCAGACTAGTAGTTGGGTCGGTGACGACCAGCGAATCCCTGGTGTTGTATGTTTTTACTCCCCCTATTTTTTGAAGTGGGTTTTTTTAGGTCACATATTACCCATATCAGCGTTAGACTTCAGTGATACCTAGCAAATAATTCATGGAATTTTAGGTAGCTGCTAAAGTGCCTTTACTCTCAAGGGCCAGGGTACCCAGAGGGTTACCCGCAACTGCAATATTTTCTGTCTCCTCCACCACCACCCTCCATGTGCACATCCCAGCCATCATGATGTCTCTTAGCAACCACTCAGTGTCTTGGTTACCACTGCCCGACGTCCATTAACACCACTTCTCCTTCCCCCGTGCCTAGGTTACGTCCCCGTTTTGGCCTCGTCGATACCTGGGCAGCACCTTTCGTGTGTCCATGGGATTATGCGAGTCTTCTTACTTCTTCTTGTTTTTCTCATCTCGTCTTTTGTCAGCCTGGCAAGGTGGACATATGTCGTCGCGTTCCTCATCGTCACCACTGTACTTCTCGGGGCAGTAGTCCCTCTCTTTCTGATACTCGTCGCATCGAGCAGTGAGGATATACATATATTCTGTGTGTCCGCATCGCTTGAAAGCGACCTTGCTGTTTTTGCACATTGTAGCGTTTAAGGCTGTGGCAAATGGTATTCCCGTTGCTCGAGTGTTGTTCGCGTTGTGTTTATTCTGCTGTCTATAAGTCTTTGCGCCGATAGGGCCAGCTGTGTGTGGATTCTCACGCTTTCCGTATGCTTGTGAAATAAGGGAAGGCCTGTTTTCCTGGGTAGGGGCTCTGTTTTATAGCCGCAGAGAGTGCTCTCAAATGTGGGATTTGAAAGATTGCCTTAGTGAATGCCATGAGTTACCCACCTCAGACACTCACCTACCACTGTCTTAACTCCGGTAAGTGACCGAGTGCCTGTCACCAATGGGCTCTGTGCCACCACATTTCCTGAACCTGAGGCTTCATGGACTGTTGGGATGATCAAATATCCCTTGTGTAAAAGTATGTCTACAGCTGGGGATCTGTAATCGAGCCTCAGGTGTCAGCGGAAGTTACACTGGGCACCCAAACGGTAACACATCATAACCCGTGATACTGGTAGAAAGACTTGGTGGTTTCCTATGTGCCCTCGATGATCTGAAGTCGGGGGAAGGCAAACACCTAGTTTCTTTGTTATCTCTACAATCTCATTGTTCATGAGCACAAACGGAATGATTCTCCCGGTAGTAGTTGGCTATGGAAGTAACCAAAACTATATAAGTAGCATAAATGCGCTCCTCGGTCCACCATTGTCATATAGGAAGTACCCCAAAGTGCTCGTACATACTAGTACCATCCCTTTCGCTGTGACTTGGAGGCTAACAAGGTGCGAATCACATTGCTCAGGTCAACGGGGCTATCTAACAAGGGACACTAGTATCTTCACTCGGACCAGCCACCAACGAAAGCAATGTGCAATTTGATCACCGTTGAGTATTCCAAGTGCGGTCACAATATGCGCAGAATTTCCACTCGATGCGAGCATTTCAATGCACTCGGCCAAACTTGCCCTAAGCTAAAGGCTGGTGATTGGGACTTCTGCAATGATAAATGTGCAGTGTGCAAGGCCAAGTCTGTGGCTAGATAGTGGAAAGCGTGGTAGCATAAGGCATGGAGGCCGGGGATGGGGGACGTCTATGAAGGCTATGAGGCTATGGGCTGGCCCTCCCAGTCACGCAACTTGGGCATATGTTTCCGTCCGACCCCAAAACAGTTTATACATTTTTACTTCCTGTGACCTCAAATTGAAGCTTAAGATTCCCCTGGAAGAGCGGTGAACACGAAACTTTTTGAATGAAATTTGAAAACTGCCAAGTTCAAGAAATGGGCCGAAGCCTCGGGAAGGACTCGGAAACTCACTACCCTTGGTTTTGAACTGCTGCCCCTTGAAAAGGATGTGGATCCTCGGTGTCATGTCAAGAGGCTGAGGGCAAAGCTGTGATGAATCCACCAGCTCACTCGAAAGGTCCATGCTTTTTTGTTTGGACGCTCAGGGGTAGACATCTGTAGTACCTAGCTTGCACGTGATACCGACCCACTCACTCTTAAAACAGTACCCGCTTCGGGTTGGGATTTTACTCATCAGGGCTCATGCACCCAGTTTGGGCCACCTCTTTCATCAAACATTGGGGGATTATAGTATAGTGGTTAGTATATCTCATTGTGGTGGCAGCACATGCTCTGAGACGACGCAGGTTCGATTCCTGCTAATCCCAATGATTCTTTGTTTTTGCCTTTTTCGACAATCGTCGTCCATTTGATCTCCCTTTCCTACAATGAGCCTAGGTGTCAAGGTTAAGCAGTCTACGTATCGAGATTGTTTGAGGGAATTGCGAGGTATTTTTTGACCTATAGTTGCCGCCCCCAGCGCCTAGAAGGTGCACGGCCCACCTACCGTTGGGATGCCATGTCATCTCGGCCCCCTTGCGAGATGTGGATAGTTACGGCACCTCGCCTTCATCAATTCAGTACCAGCGTCAGTGGTTTAGTGGTAAAATCCATCGTTGCCATGTAATGTCAATTCGATGGGCCCCGCGTTCGATTCGCGGCTGACGCAACCTTTTGTGCCTCTGACTGGTTATTCTTTTGCTTCTCCTCCCAGGGGGGCTATTCACAGAATCTGGAATGGGATTGTGACGATAGGTCGTCAATGATTGTTCTTTCTTTACGGGTATCTTATTTTGTTGAGGCTTTTTGAGATGCTGTGTGTTCGTTGCTGGAAGCATTACTGGCTTGGTGGTCACATGACCTGGGTGGCAGCTGGCAATTCTCGCGCTACAGAAAAGAGAGTTGCATAACGAATCATGCCGGGACAGGAGCCACCACTCGAGGGCCAGAGGGCTGACTGCCGAAATGGAATTCGTATCTCCAGCAGCCCAGCTAGTTATGCACTCCCAAACGGAATCGGCAATGACAGTAATGAAAAGTATTTGCACCAGAAGTTGCAGCTTCCTCTCTGAGGTGTCAATACTCTGTGGGGAGCCCCTGCAACAATCCGCCAAGTGAAAGGTGTGGGGCTGAGGCGAGGTGGCTTAAGAGTGGCAGGGGACCAGTGAATTTTACATCCAGACTCCGCCAGTCCCAGAGAACCACGACGCGATCGACGCGCTTGCCAGACCAGAGACGCCGACACTTGTCACTGGCAGCCCACACCACGACTTTTAACTCTGATTGCATCTGATTGTCCTGTAAGACGGTAGAGCGGTCAGGACTGGCTTCGAGCGACGACAAGCGATAACAATGCAGCCGCATTACCGTGGACATGCACCACCACATGGGGCGACGCCGAGGGCTGGGGGACAGCATGTCCCACAACGTCGCGGTGGCATTGGTGAGTCGCCATTTTACTTCTCCTCTCCCCTCTGTATATCGTGTGTATTGCATTTTGCCTGTCTGGTTCAACGTCATTCCTTCCGTGTGTGTCTGTGTGGTGCTGGTGCCTGCGTCAATCTTGGTGTCCGTGTCTGTGTTCGGTGCGATTGTCTTGTGCCTGCCAGGAGTCCCCGACAGTCTGACTCCGGGGCACGAGGCGCACTCCGCTTTTCTTGAGATTTGTGTGTGGAGCAGCAGCCAGCACACCTTGAGGCACGCCGTTGTTGTTTTGCGCAAAGCCCAAGACCAGAGACAGGCCCAGCGCGTTCGAAGCCGAATCGCAGAGGCCACCCAGAAAACGAGTCCACATTGGATTTCACCCCACAGCCTGTTCCCGTCGCCCAGAACACAAGATATCACACCGAACTGGCTTCTAACTCTGCAACCCATTCTGCTTCACAGGCCCCATGATGTCGGCGGGACCCCATCACTCAGTGCCAATGACACAGGCGCAAATCAACCAGCAGCAGGAGCAGCAGAAGGCCGCCCTTCACAATGCGAAGCTGCGCAGCGCCAAGCCCACCGACAAGACCCTCCCCGATGGCATTGAGGAGACCATGACGGACGAGGGCGTGTCCGCCGTCGCCTACAAGAAGCTCAGGGACCTCGAGCGCCGTCTCGACGCCACCATGATACGGAAGAGGCTGGACATCGTGGACACGGTCAGCCGCAACGCAAAGGTAGGTTCTCGACCCCTCTATTGTTTTCCATGTTTGCGCCACTTGGAACTTTTGATAGACTAATACGCGCAAGCCCCAGCGATACAAGACGCTGCGGATTTGGATTACCAACACCGTCGAGGACCAATTCTGGCAGACGAACGGACTGAATGTCGATAGCTTCAACTTCTCCGCAAATCTCGAGTCGTCCTATCAGGTCAAGATCGAGGGCCGCCTGCTCGACGACGAAGACGACGTTGATAAGGAGGACGATGAGGCTAAGCCGGGCAATGAGCTCGAGGGCGGCGATAAGATGGAGACCGACAGCCCTGCGAAGGCGAAGGCGAAGCCCGTCTCGGCCAGGCCAGGCCAGCGTTACCGGTTCTCGCACTTTTTCAAGGCTTTGACAGTGGACTTCGACCGCCCCAAGTCGGCGCGTTCGGCCAATGATGCGAGTATTGAGTGGAAGAAGCCTGACCGAACGCCAGCCGGGTCTAACTTGCCCGCGATGGCCGACTTTGACGAGCTCACATTCAAGCGGAACGGCGACGAGAATACAAATATTACCATCAACCTGTACCGGCACGAAGACCCCGAACGGTTCGCACTTAGCCCGGAACTCTCCGATATCGTCGATGTGCACGAGGCCACGCGCCAGGAAGCGGTTATGGGTGTGTGGGAGTATATAAAGCTTATGAACCTTCAAGAGGACGAGGAAAAGAGGAATTTCAGATGTGACGAGCTCCTGAAGAAGGTATGTTTTTTCTTTCTGTTGCTCATCCGCTCAAGTATTTGTGGGATACTAATAACACTCAGGTTGTTGGGCGAGATGCCGGCTCTATCCCCATGATTAATGAATTAATCACTCCACACCTTAGGGTGCTCCCACCCGTCAAGCTGGCGTATACGATACGCGTTGACGAGGAGTTCCACAAGGACCCCAAGCCCACCATCTACGACATCCGTGTCGCCGTCGACGACCCGCTCCGCGGCAAACTGGCCCCGTTCATCTACAACACCCAGTACGCCCAGATGCTTAAGAAGGTGGCCGACCTGGACAAGGACCTGGGCGTTATGATCCAGGCAGTCGCGACACACAAGGCCAAGCACACTTTCCTCACGTCCATGTGCGACGACCCTGTCAACTTTGTGCGCAGCTGGCTCAGCTCGCAGAAGCGTGACCTCGAGGTCATCATGGGCGAGGCGACCCGCGGCGGCAACGAGAACACCACGGGCGATGAGTGGCGTAAGGGTGGTCGAGATAGTGTCTGGAACACGCCGAATGCGAGGGAGAGCGTCAATGTGCTGCTCTCGAAGCAGTCGGCACATCGCTAAGCAAGCCAATGATGGAATTACTGGGGGTTCTGTTTCTCGGCGTGGGAGGGCGTTTTCTGGGAGGCTAGGGATGGCGTTGATAAGGGGGTAAGACGGGGGGGTTGGCTACCTGTAGGTTTCCGTGGGCTCCGGTTGACTGGACTGCCCAGGTGATTGACTACCCACGGATATGTACAATACGCAGCAGAATCGATACCAATGACATGGCGTTGTTAAATGTGTGAGAGTCAAGGAAATATATGTAAGTTGGGCTGTATTTTAAAAGGATGCTAGCAACCTAAACGCCGCAAACCCGATAACGCAATGCAATTCGTCCATCTATCTCATTCAATCATCCCTATGCATCCTGCTTTTATGCCTATTCCCATACCCATAACCTCATATACAAACACCACCCATTTAATCCTGCTCCGTCAAATCAACCATGGGGATCTCGCTCCTTCGCCACATCTTCCTGTTGTTCCGCGCTCCAAACGTGGCCGTCGCTTTCAACGACCCAAGAGCAATCCTATCGCTTGGTCCATCCTCGACTGGGACAAGGCTGGCGGCGCTTTGCATCATAACGTCGGCTTCTTCGCGGGTCACCTCGACCTCGGTGAAGTAGCCGGCGCCGACGCCGCTGGTCCGTGGCATGTACAGCTTCGTGGTACCTGTTGCGAGATCGGTGGGCTGTTTCCTGCCCTGTTTATTATCGTGCTTTTTTTCTTGAAGGCTGGCGTCCTGGGGAGGTGGCGTGGTTTTCGCGTTCAGCAGCGACTGGAATGATTTAGAGGGTAGGAGGGATGGCATATCCAAGCCGAACAGATCATAATCACTTTCAGTGTCCAAGTAGACTGTGTCGTGGCCGGCATCTTCAGCCGGAAGGGGTGGCGTATGTCCCTGGGTGGGCAAATCGATCGTTCCCTTTTCAACTGGTGGTTTCGCCACATCGTCGCCATCACCACCCTCATCCCCAGAAGACAGCTCGATCATCTCCCTAGTCACATCTGTCCCCTTGACTTCTGCCTTCTCGGCTCCACCCGCCTTCACAAGACGCCCATAGTCCTTGATCGACCGCTGCGTCCCGCCCTTGCTCGTCCCAACATCATCCTTCGCCCCGCTCTTCGTCCGCTTGAACGGCCGGGCCTGCCGCCTTGGCAGCAGCGAAGCAGCATTCCCCTCCCGGCCAGCACCCACATCCCCAGAAACCAACGAGCCCAGTGATTCTGGCGAGAACAGGTTATCGACCGGTGGGCTCGACAGCCTCTTAGCCCTCCTCGTCGGCGTGGTTACCCCCTCCCCCGTTACAGCCTGACGAAGGGGCGAAGCCGGCGCAGGGACGGGAGGACTAGACGAGATAAGAATTGGCTGCTGGGCAGAGCTCGTCGCAAGCTGCTTCTTCTGTGTGGCGGGAAAAACAGCGGCAACCGCCTTGGTGACCCTGGGAGGACTGACTTGTGAGCCAGCGATGGTCCACGGGTTGACCTGGGCCGTTGACCGGCCTTTGGCCTGGGGGGCTTTGGAAGAGGTCTTCTTGATGGGTTGCTTACTTCTTCCGACCGTCGGCGCGGCGGGTTTGGGCGCTGCGGCTGTGTTGGCACGGGTGAGGCGTGGCAAGGCGGCGGGTGGGCTGGACGCGAAGGCGGGAAATGGAGGGCGCGGGGGAGATGACAGAAATGGCTCGGCAGAAGCGGCTTTGGCGGGGAGCTTTGCTGCGGGTGCTGCAATGTTCTTGGTGACTCTGACGAATTTGTCCAGTGCGCCGACCGGCATGTCTGTCTTTTTGGCGCGCGGTTTTCTCGTCGTTTTGGCAGCAACCCGCAACTCTTTTGCTCGCTGCTTCTCTTCCCAGTCGCTCACGACCAGGGGCACGCCCAGTTTGATAACAGATTCTGGGATCCATACCAAGTCTGACTGTAAAGGATCAAACTTCTTTTTGGCACCGCTAGTCTTGGATGGCTCGCCGTCTAACTCCTCTGCCACTTCTTCATCGAACTCGTCATCGCTATTGAGCGCAAGACCATTGCGACCATATGCCTCGACCTGCTCTGTAGGCTCGGCGCTCAGGTTCAGCCCCACAATATCTGCTGGGATATATGATACCCGCAACTCGGGCGTAGCATCTGTGCTGAAGTGTGCCCTCCGGCTCGAAATGGCTTTGATAAGAGCCGACTCATTTTCGAGTCTAAGATCGAGGTTGTCTGGATATGTC